AGCGCATTTGCCGCGCCTTCCTTTTGTTATACAGGTCATCCAGGTCTCCGTCTTGCTATTTCTTAAGTCGCTTTGCTATTGTTTTGGATAAATATCCATCATTTTCGGAATTTGTTTTGCACAGTAGTAAGTGTGGAAAGATCAATGCTGCGTGCCTTGCGAAGGTATTTTCGTTGTTTTCTATTTGGTTGTTCAGACTTCTATTGAGGGTTTCAATGAAGTTATATCCAATTTTATTTTTTTGATAAGATCATAAAGCCCGGTTTCCATTGGACCACTTCGATGTATATTTACCTGGTGGTTTCTACGAATTCTAGACAGGGGTTTGACCATGGGTCTTGTGTTGTTCTAGGTTCAACAAGGTAGGGTTGTCTTGAGTTTTGTGAGTGTGGGGCAATGGAAGGGTGAGGATGGAGTCGAGGGAGCGTGGTTGTAGCTAGGGTTAGGGGATTGCATTCATGCGTGTCGTTAGCTGAATGTGAATGAAATTGGGAAGTGCAGCGAAGACAGCTGAAATCGTCATAATGATCACTGCTGCGGTTTAGGCCGCTGTATTTTACATGCATGTAGCCTGGGCATGTGAAGCAAACAACACCTTCACCTCGCAAGCCGTTTTTACAAATAAAGCAGTGTGTTTGAGTAGTCATTTGAGGAAGGACGGCGGTGTCAAGTTAGCGAGAGAACTTATAAATTAAATGTGCAAAAAATTTTTTTTTAAAATCATTACCGTAGAACGAGAAAAGGCTGTCATCACGGCAAAACCTTTGAGGGGTTTAGATTTAGGTTGAACTTAGGTGAAACAATGAGTGTATGAGGGTCTACAAATCTAGTTATTAAATTAAACAACACATGGTTAAGAATTTATATTTTGCGAAATACTTCAGAGTTATAACAGTTCTGAATTGTTTTGGGCATGACCAGTTTCTTGGGCTGCAATTTGTTAGTGACGATGTTAATCAATTTTTCCCTTGCTGTTCTAATTCTTGCAGATGCAGCTTGTTGTCATTGTATTCACCAACTATTGTTACTGTTTTTAAGTGCTTTGTTCTGTAGCGCAAAACTGTTTCAAACAGATCATGAAGCATTGCGCCGCGGTAGGAGTGAATTGTTGATTTTACTAGAATTGGTTTGATAGATTTGCTCTTTGAAGTCCCGATAACTAGTTTCTGTGAAAACTCAGGCATCTATCTGAAACACAGTCAACTGAGGCGAGAAAGGAAGTTTTTTGGGGCCAGAAGGGAAGCTTTCGGGCAGTTTTAAGGTTCTTGATAATATATTAGAAAAAAGAACTGAAACTCAAAGATCAGAGACACATCCAACTCAAATAACTGCCCGTTCAGTCAGAATCACTGGCCAGCAAAAGATGTGATGCGAATTTCAAAAACGAAACAACGATCTAGCTTTAGCAATCCTTTTTATTCAAACATTAAACATTCAAGTTTTTTTGCTGATGAAGATGGAGACAGCACAGACCTATATCAAGAAATTTTTATTATTAACGAATCGAATCAAAAATCAGACTCAAAAATTGAATCGAAACAAAAATCAGGAGAGTTGGAATTTTTTCTATTAAAAAAAAACAGAGCTCGCCAGACGAAGATTAGGTTCACTCACTCGGAATTGCATAAGACTCAAGGATGCTACATAGCCGAGTTAATGATTCAGGCATTCTGAAGAGTACATTTTCTTTAAGCCATTTGTGTCACAGCCCGCAGCAGGAACCGTTTGCTTAATGATCGGTAGAGCACGTAATCTAAAAAATTAGAGAATTAACAAAACAACAAATTTTTTTGACCTTCTCAACTCAAACAAAATCTTCAAAAACACTAAATAAAGAATCTCACCAAATTTTTCATGCTTATTTTGATTTTGATTGGTTGATACAATCATGACAGTATATATGATTGGACGTTGGAAAATCACATGCCTTTTAGTTTAGAAAAATGAACCCATTTGAGTTTTGGGAAAAAATGCCGCTTTATAAATTTCGACAGAAATGAAACCAAACATGTCGGCTGCCATATCAATCTAGGATTGATTATTTCAGGGGACAAAGCATTTCTAGTGGCGAATAGAGACTTCTTTTTTGATAAGAAGGAATATATCAAAATTGCACTGGAAAGCAAAACTAAAACTATTTGAATCAATGGTAATGCCAGTAATACTATATGCAATTTGCTGTTTCATTAAATCAAGTATGTGATGTCACAGTGTGAAATTATGCAGAAATGGGCTGTTAGTAGGATTGAAACACGAATGTTTCATGAAAAGAAAAATTAAGACAGCTACAAATTTTGTCTTTGTCGGTGTATATACAATTGAACAACCTGTTATTACTTGCAAAAATTATACTGAAGCGATGAGATACTAAACTGCTTGATGCTTGATATCCCTTGTTATACAGATCTCTCTCGTGTCCCTATGTTTCAGCTAAAGAAACAATTAAAATTTAAATGGCAACAGATTTTTTTATATCAATTATGTCGTCTTGCAAATCCTCTTAGGATTGATTCATGACACTGGACTGGTTTTTAACATTCGCCAGGACGTTCATACCGATGGAAAACAAAGCTAGGTTGTCAAACGACTGGCTAGAGTCTTAATACAGCTTCACATGCTTTTAACCGTCTCTACCAAAGCCAGTTGAATGTGTTGTCTTTTAACATCGGTTCCATAAAGTCTTTACTACTTAAGGCTATCGGCCAGATTGCGCGAATTAACTCAATTACAAGCAAAAATAGTGAGCTAATGGCTGGGTCTCAGTATCCCCAGACCACGAGGTCACTCCTAAAAACGGGGATATTATTTATTATCATAAGACTATCGGTTTTGTTCACTAGATAAAAATCATCATATCCATCGGAGATGGATCAACGCTTTCTCTCAACTCCTAGCCTATCATATACTGAAAAATGAATTAGAAGTTAATTAAATTCAACTCAAGACATACCAGGAAGCTGAACGTTGTTTAGAAACCCGTTTCAGTCTCTTCCCGGGCCTTCCGGATTCTTGAAACCGGTCGAAGAGCAGTCTTAACGCGGTCTGGGAAGAGTAGTAAAATCTTCCCAATATCCCTCCGAATTATCGGAAACTGCTCCGTAACGATTGTAGCTGTACAATCGTTCAAATTCGGGTAGCTGTACCGATCGAAACTTCAATGTAGTTCGTACGTTTTTTCTTCATTGTCGAGAATCATTGTTGTTTCCTCAAGCGAAAGTCGATCTTCTGATTTTCGCGCATTTTCAGTTACTGCTAAATATCAAGGTCCTGATTTTTCCTTATTTTCGAACGCATTTCAAAAAATTACTTCGTTACTGCAATTTGACCTTTCCCAATTCGTTAAATTGAACAATTAACGCTGTTAATTTGTCGAAACTGCCAATTTTCTCACTCGGCTGCTACTAATAAAATTTCGATGTTGCCATGCATTATAACCATTCTGGGTGCCCTACTCAAGCTTTTCTAGAAGAAGTAAAGCTTCATGGAATAAAGAAACAAATGCACATGAAAGCTTGCATGTGAATGGCCGATGTACAAAAGCGAAAGTAAAAAGTGTAAAGAAACTTTTAATTCTGATGATGCACAAAATGTGCGAAAACGTTTGAATTAGTTTTTTAAAAATTCTTAAAGAAGTGTTGTAGTTATCTGAAACGAGTTCATTGACGGGGCCTGGACTCTTTGTGGAGACACAATCCCTAATGCTACAACTAATACTAATTATACTATTTGACTGCTTACTGGAAAGAATGATCATGCGTCTGTCTAAATACGAACCGTGTTTAGAGTAGTAGTAGAATTCTACTGTAGTAGAAGAAGTCTATCACTGTCTATCCTAGTATCCTTGTGCTATCAAGTTATGTTTTTTTTGTGCAAGGGTTCGAGACCTCGATTTTCTTAAACAGGGAATCTCCCTGGCAATACCTGAAGCATTTTTTTATTTGTAAAGCCACGATAACGTAAACGCGTCCTAGTGTAAGTTTCTTTTTGACCCGCAACCTCATCAAGTCAAACACATCCTAGTTTAGGTATCTCATTGACCCGCATCCTCATCAGGTCAATCTCTTTGAGTTTTTTTTCAACTCCTGTTTCTTATGTGCAGAGGATAATTAAAACAGGCCCTTCCTTCATGCGACGGTCCGTGCAGAGGTTGGATAGGGCCATACTAACTCTATATAAGTACATCGGAAAAAATTTATGAATAAATCAAGTCGATTTTAAAGCATCCAGAGAATTGTCAATTAAAATTACCCTCCTCGATTATAGCACAGATGGAATTGTCTATTTTGGATGTCTTTTTAAGTTTTATGCACCCCCTGAGGCAGAGTATTGCACTCCTCAGAAGTGCAAAATTTAATTTTGTTTTTTTAAAAATTGATTGTGTCCGAATATGATTCGTTTCGTTTTTCGCTTATTTTCTGGACGGATTTTGCAGAGCCTGGTGCTGCTCCCACGGTACACGCAAAAATTGGAGGAACAACGCTGCTGTGTTCCACATACAGAATTCTTTGTTGGTATTTTAATGTTTAGACACGCTCATGATAGTTTTAGGGCAGGATTTAGCACGGGGGTTGAAAATTTTTTTACTCGAAAAATGTTCGACTGAATCGGCCTCCACAGAGTCCATTTGGCTTGATGTCAAGTCGAGTGCCATCTTCAGTAGTTTTTGTTTTGTTGTGAAAGCTTTCGCCTTCCAGCGGTTGAAGTTTCGGCTCTATTCCAATATCATGGCATACTTCATCCAGGAGTGTCGCAAAGGTATCACGAATTTCATTGTCTTAGATGCAGGGGTTAGTTTTCTCAATCTGATTGACTCGATTCCCAACCAGCTCAATTTTCTGTACTTCTTTCACGTTATACGTTCTTCTACACTGAAATTCCAAGGTTTTTTGTCTCGGCGAAATAATGAAGGACGAGTGTAATAACTTAATATGATAAGTTATTGTGAACTTCTGATTAATATTTAAAAGAAAAGTAATAGAAAAGCAGCTGTATCGGACTGCTACAAAACTTGAAAAGAGTAAATAAAAATATGAATAAGTATTAGATCATTCACTACTCAACTTGAATTATATGCGTGAAATCTTTGCCTGCAATGTGTGTTTTTCAGGATTTCTCCAGTTCTTTAAAAAATATTAGCCTAGTTTTTAACTCTGAATTTCTTCGTCAGTATCTCTTTCTTGCAATGCAACTTGGTCGATTTTCCGTTTGAGTCTGATAATTTCTTGCTCAAGTTCACTGACCAGCTCAGTTTTATCTTCCAAGTCTCGACTAGTTTTATTTATCTGTGCTGTTTGAACATCGTTTTCCTCGAGAGCTTCAATTGTTTCTCGTTTCAGTTGCTCGACTCTCCCTCTCAATGATTTAACTTCAGCTTCTGATTGTAAGTTCCTGCGTTCGAGTAACTCCATATCTCGTGTTTTTTCATTCATTGCCTTCTTCAGTTTGGCTTCAGAATGTTTCATGTTTCCGATTTGAATGTGCAACTGTTGGATTTGAGTTTTCAGCTCGGTCACTTCAGTGCTGGGCGTTCCGGGCAGCGAAGTTTTCTGATTTCTTACTGCCCGACTCTAAAAATTGAAAAAAGTGAAGATAAATCGTTATTAAATCGTTTGGATGTGATTTCTTTTTTTTCTTTCTCACCTCCAAATCAGCAATTTGATTCTTAAATTTCTTAATCTCCCTCTCAAGCTGAAATTTCTCGGTCTCCAACTGTTCTCGTTTGCTCCATTCATCCGTGTTTTGCATCTAAATTTGCATCGAAATAAATTGATCAGAATTTACATAATTTAAATGTTTTCTCTTGTGATGCTTAGTTTTTTTTCTAATTACGCGAACTTTTTTTTTCCTGTAAACAACTTTCGGTTTGCATCGAAATAAATTGATCAGAATTATAATAATTAAAATGTTTTCTCTGGTTTTCTTTCCTGTGAATAACTTTCAGTACTACTATGATAGAGTGGTCCCTTGAGAATAAGACACCGAGAGCTCTAAAATCGTTTAAAATTTATGAGTTAGCTATTCAGAAAGATGTCGCAGTATATTTTCAAACAAATTTTATGATTAGTTTTTCGTAAAACTTCCCCGCTCATCGTTTTAAGGTGGAAATTTAAAAAAAAACGCTAAAATTGAGTTTCGATGACAAATAAGTTAACCCAATTATGGCTGTAAATCTTTTTAAAGTTGAAGCGAGCATGTTGCTTGATATAAATTATATAGTAATACAATTTTTAATCAGAAAAATTTCAAACAATATATTTCGCGAGATTTTTGAAATGAATAATTTATATACAAATTAGTTTTCAAATTATTAAATGCGAAATGCATGCGAGATCTGGCGCTCGTAGTTGCTTTTTCGGGGGCCTGTCTATCATAGTAGTAACCAACTTTCATCCATATCTGCTCATAAAAGTGTTCTCTGATTGAAAACCTTTTGAAAAAAAATCGTTTTGTTTTGGATTCGAGGGATTCGTTTTAGTTTTCATCGGGTCCCATATCCGCTCAATAGCTATCTGTAAAAAATTGATCTTGCTTTGTTGTTGAACCGGAACAATTAGCAGGCTCCTTTTTAATTGGTTTCGAGGTAACACGGTTGCCTTTGTACCCTAAGGTCTGGGTTTCAAGTCCTTTTTGGACCTCGTTTTTTAATATCTATGAAATTAATTTATTTTCCGGGAAAATTTGAATATCTGGACTTTCGTTTGTCTGCTCAATTTCCAATGCTTATTTTTTTTCTGATTTAAACATTTCTTACTATTATTGACAGTCGTCCTGTTAAAACGTCATTTTACTTATTCGGATTTTATATTTTGTATAAGTTTGTTTTTTGTTTATTTTCATAAAACAGTTTCGGCTTATATTTTATCTATCGGCTCGCTCACTTATTTCGCTTGAAGGGTAAAAATTGATTATTAAAAAAAAAGACGTCTGTTGCAGTCGAAAAGTTCAATGTTTTTGAACCTAATCGCTCCACATTTTTTCGATGACAACAACTTATTCGATGTTTTTTCTTTTTTGGCCCAATGGGCATCTAGCCACGTTTTTTTTCTTCTAAGTGGCAGCTCAATAAATACTATTTAATTTTATGTACTGTCAGTAGTTGCGTTTTCGACTGTTTTTTTGAATAAATTTTTACGACTAAGTGATTTGGGTCTCATTTTCTCTTCGCTAGCTTGCAATGCTCCACTTCGTCTCTATATTGAAATGTATGTAAAAGGCTTGGTATATCACCTGAAGCTGCTCGATATCTTCGTGCAAAGTGGCAATCCTTTTTTCTAATTCGGAGTTTCGGGAGTTACTGTCTGCCAAATCAGAAGTAATGTTCGCAATCTGACTCTCGTGATTTTGCCTCGCTGTCTTCAATTCAAAACTAAAACCAAACAATGAGATACGGCTATATTAGTAAACGAAGAGATTTAAAAAACTTTTTTTAGCGTTTTTCTTGATTTGTTATCTGACTAGCAGCCTTGTTAGCATAAAATTATTTGTTCTTAATCTCTGGCTGCTTTGAGAAAGAAAACAGGTCTTCTATCAAGTTTTGTTGTAAGTTGGTCTGAAAGGCAAAAAATATTTTTCAGACCATTGTTTCTAGATACCCATTGTCATGCGCCTCATCAAGGTGGACACATATACGGAAAATGGATCACGACCACCTCTCCAAGTTGATCCTTGATGTTTTTTTTTGAAAAAGATTCCCAGAGAACGTTTTTTTTGCAGCTTGCTCGACTTGCATGTTGTGTAAAACCATTTTTTTCTAGGAATCATTGTTTGAAGAACATACTAATGGAATATTTTTAACATTGTCGTTTTAAAACGCGCCATATTGTCAAAAATACTCTCTCGCTTTACTCACTCGAATTTAGACTTCAAACGGGTTTTTCTCAACATTGGGACTGTTTTTTCATTTTTTAAAATGTTTTAATCTCGACTGAAAGAGCTTCATTATGATATTTCACTGGTATTATCTCGATTATTATTTTTGGTACCTGATTTTACCTGATACAAATATTTCTTAACATTGTTACGTTTCTATTTTGTATCGAACAATTAGGAATACCTCACGGCTTCTTTGGAAATGGTTAGTTGTTGTATGTTGCCCTGTAGTTTTCGAATGGCCTCCGACAAGGTGTCAATTTCCTGTTGGAGTCCTTTGCTCGCTTCTCTTTCGAACATGATGATCTGCAATAGATAAACTTGATTGGAAGGGCTTGCTGTTTTGAACGATTGTGGGTAAAAAATAGTTTCCACGTGGAGGGAATGAAAAAAAAAATAAACAGACAGTCTATATAAGGCATTTTGGGACAAATTTGTCGTTTTTTGTGTTTGTTATGAAATATGAAGTTGATTTTATAGAGTAAGTAAACCAGTGAATTTTTCTGTTGCATAATTTTGCCGCGAAAAAAGGTTTGAAAACGGGCCATCTGTTCCAATCAGTTTCTCTCACACTTGGAATTGTGTGTTATACGATTATTTGGTTTATTAATCAGAAGACTGAAAGCTAATAATAATAATTATTACCTTGTTAGCTTCTTCGAGCTTTATCTGCAATGCACGCTGTGACTTCTCTGAATCGACAAAAGAGCAATCCTCAGTTGACATTTTGAAAATTTCATTCCTTTCTCCACTTCCCTCCCGTTCCTTATCCTGGTCTTGAATTGAGCCAGTGTTGTCTCCCAGACCATTTCCAGTGGCGTTCATGAATGCCTGGGTTGCGGATTTGGTCCAGTCGTAAGGAGCATTGAGGCGAAGGGAGCCGTAGCGGTTGATGGATCCATGGTCTAAGCAGAATATCCTCGGTTTCAATTCGTGTTCAATGTATGAAATGATATTCTAGTTTATTCAGTTTATAAAGTGATGTTTTTGGATTTTTCTAAAGAAACAAACTGCTTTGAAGTCTTTAACCGCTTCTTGTCAATGTCGTATGGAGAATTAGGTGGATTTCTGATAAATTATTCATTTTTTAATCAAAAGTTGCCTTATATAACATTCTGGGAAAAGCGCTCAAATTAATTTTGTACGGTTATAACAATGTTTACCTGAGCTGTTTGAGTTCTGTCGTTGTTGTCTGTCCAGCTCAGCCTTGAGTAGTTTCTTCTCCTGTTGCACCTTCTCCACCTAAGAGTCACAAAATAGTCAAGTGGAGTGAATTGACAGCTCAACCGAACTACATTTTTGGGTTAATATTCATTTGGTGCTAGTTAACGACTACAGTCTAATTAATAGAGAGATTCTGTATGCTAGATAATTTGTTCAGAGGCTTTTTTGTTAATCATTTTTGCTAACTAGATTTTATTTTTTCAAGCTGACGTGTTCGGTATAGAGAGGGTCCCAGGAAAAAACCAGTGAAATAGATGTGTCCCAAATCACGCTATATCTAAGCAAGTATTGCAACTGAGTAAATCAATGGACTCTGCTTGATCTTTTTGAAAACTTTTTCACGAACATAAATTACCTGCCTCATTTGCGCTTACTTATTTGATGCTTTAATTGACATCTCCGAGACAAAAAATTGAACAATTTTAAAGCACTGTGTTCACATTAGGGACCGTGTTAGTTTCTTGGGACCCCTTTATCACATTTGTATCACGCGTTTGATGAATTGGTTGAGGCCAACTGTATTGCTATTGATGAAGTCGACAAAAGTCTGTATTAATAAATGTATTAGTTGTTGCTAGTGTAGGCTGTACCTGTTGTAGCGTGTCATCCAGGCGTTTGTTCAGCTGTTTCACCTCCTCTCTCGCAGTGTTCCTCTCATTCCTCACTTTGCTCCACTTCTCCCTCCAGTTCTGAGTACAGTCACTCCACCACTTCATAGTCTGCTCAGTCTGAGCTGCACGCGCCTACAACACACTCTTAATTATAAACTAACACGGGTAGCTAGTTGCTGTGCAAGTAGCACAAAAAGCTCCGACTGCATTCATAAGAAACTACAAAAAAAATTTTGCCAAAGAAGCTCTAAATGAAACTTCCAAAACCAGTTTTATCTGAGCAAAATGATTTTATTCTTTACTTAAATAAAAACGTTTATTAAATATCTAGCTATAAGACCTACTCGTTCGTTTTACTCAAAATCTTTGAAAATGTTTAGTCGTTGGAAATCACGACTGAAAGAGCTTTAATATGATATGTCTCTGGACATATTAGGATGAATTTTTGTTAACTGATGTTGGGAAAACAAACAAAAATAAAATACACCCGAAGACAAAAGTTGCTCACTACTTGCAGTGGTCGGAACAACCAGCCTTTAAACTAAACTTTATGTTCCGAACTAGAAGTGAGCCGGAACTTTGTGTTGGGGTGTAATTTTTCCCCGCTCAAAGTCAGGTACCATGAATAAAGATTAAATGAGGTTGTGTGATATTTCATGATAAAGCCTTTTAAGTTGCAATTCGGTCGATTTTAAAATTTTACCAAACTCAGTGTCGAGAAAAGCCGGTTTGAAAATTTTGCTTTCAAGCGAAGTAATAGTGCAGACTGACGTTTTTCGTCTACAGTGAACTGAATGTTTTCTATTTTTTAAACCTTTTTTTTGGCGTGCCCACGCGCTAGAAGTTTTAAAAAAAGAAAAAAAAATGTTTTTTAAATCATGTTTTTTTTTGGGAACGATTACTGTACTCAGAACTTTCTGTGTAATGTGTTATACTGCTCATAACATTTGTTTTAAGTAGAAGTGTTAAAATGAATGTGATGAAATTTTAGATAATTTGTTTTTTTTATTGTTTTTACTCTAAATTTATTCAAAAATGTCTTCGGTTCATTTTTTCTACTAATTGAGCCATTTATTTTACATGATCAGTGAAGCTTATACAATGATTTTCATGTTTTGGAACTTCGTTTAACAAATCAATTGGATAATTCAGAATTGCGTGCTTTTGCATCTGGTGAGTTGAGAGAAGTTGGATCATATCGAAAACCTATTTAATGGATATTAAACTTCTTGGATCAATTGAGCGATCTCCCCCCCGTAATGACCAATTGAGCTATCTCCCCCCAGCAAAAACGAATAAACTCTACAAAAAGACGTCAGCAAACACAAGTAGATGGATGATGTGTTTATAGCACGCAATCAATTGACCGAACGAAGTTTATCTCACATGAGTATCGAGAAAAATTTAGAAAAAAATCGAAATTTATGAAAAAAAAAATATTTTTTTTTTTGCAAAGTTTTGTTTAGGCGACCATAGCCTCATCGAAGAAAGCAATTTTCCAGGGTTGGTGCTCTAGACTTGTATCTGAATAGCAAAAACGGTTCTCCGCAGCACCTTAATATTGTTCGCAAAAAGTTTTTGTCATTTTAAGAAAGAAAAAAGTCGCTTTTTATGCCTGTTTTATTGATTCTTTTTTCAATCTAAATTAAACCTTAGAGCTTTTTCATCGTAAATTTTGGCTTTCCACATTCGTTGGAAAATATGTTTTATGATTTCATGCCATTCAAACTATTTTCAAGTGGTTATAAACATGTCGCAAGTACCTATTGACGAGTTGACATGATTCTTCGTACTCCAGAGTTGGCTGGATTTATAGAATGTTAATCTCATTTTCAAGCATCTTTTCATCTTCAAATATGTGAAAGATTCTCTTTAAATATCGATGAAATAACTAGTTACGCGTGAAAACGCTAATGTTTACGCTTGCGATTAGCAAGCGTTATCAAATTGGAATGTAGATTTTTTTTCGGGTTAACAACTAGTTTAACAAAATCTGTTGAATCACTATGCAGCTGATATGCTCAATTTCATGAAAATTCAAATTTAATTACTGGGTGGGTACTAATTACCACAGGGTAGTTTGAGGGGGGACTTTTAACTTCTGAAAGTTTTTCACGAAATCAGTTTTTTTCTACAACTGGTGTCTGCTCAAAGCTTGTCGGCCTTGTTTCCACTTCGTAAGTTTTGTTCAGTTGCTAATTTGAATTTCAATTTTCTTGCTTGGCATGTGTGCCTAGATTCCTGTTTGATAAAAACAGATAATTTGAAAGTATGTGGGATTGGGTTTTTTATTTTATTTTTTTGAGACGCTTGGGAAAATTTTATCACTTGCAAAAAACTTAGTTTTCTTTCTCAAAAACCCTTATGCCAATTATCGAAAAAGTAGTATTCATAGAAATACCGCCTACATTCTTGTGTGACTGCATTCTCCCCTGGTATCTTCTTGCTTTAACCCTTTGTCTACACCCTTCGAAAAAGTCTGTTGCGGAATATTTGACCGATGTTTTCTCAAAAACTAACCTACCAAATCCGAGATTTTGGTTTCAATGAGTAGAACAGATTTAAAAAGCTCATTTCGTAAGCGGCTACGCGCAAACTTTTCTCGAAAATTGACCACCCAAACCTGAGGTTGTGGTTTCATTGAATATAACGGGTAGTGAGAGCTCTTGTGCTTTAGCGGCAACTCCCACTTCTTACCCAAAAGTTATTGTCTCCGGAAAAGTCATTTTTTATGAGCGTTTTTTCTAAGTTTTACATAGGCGACCACGATCCCTTGTATACGCGACCACACACAATTTTTTATGACACGAAAAATTATGGCCTATGGCAATAAATATGGCATAATTATTTGACCGCTTTTGAATCTTTTTTTTCTTTTCTCGAGAACTACCCTGCCAAACCTGGATTTTTGGATTCAATCGAAATTACATGTTGGGCCAATCTCTCAAGCATAAGCGGCTACGCCCAATATTTTAAAAAGAAAAAGCTGTAAATGTCAACTTTCTGATTTGGTGTTCGTTTTTGACTTTTATCGGTAACTACCCTGCCTGTTATAATTAGTTTAATCGACACAACAGGTTGTTTGAAGCTTACCTTTATAATTTACTACGCCGTTCTTTTTGGAAAAAGTTATGGCCTTCAAACAAGGGAGAATTTTGAAACTTCCAGCCGTTTTTTGGTAGTTTTTTTTACTATACCCAAAAATTACCGTGCCAATTCTTGGGTTAAGTTTTCAATCGAGTCCTATGTTCTTTGTTGGAAATAAATTATGTTTGATCCCTTAAGGCCTTTAAAAGGCCTTAAGGGATCAAACATATTTTATTTCCAACAAAGAACATAGGACTCGATTGAAAACTTGACCCAAGAATTGGCGTAAACGTTCTGCTTTTTGCAAGCTGAATGACAATTCTGATTTACCAGCTCTAAATTTATGTTTGTTAGTTCCAGAAATTGATTGAAGTATTTTTTCAAACAACCAGGGCTTTTTTAGGGGTTTAATTGCTGAAAGGAACCCTGACTGTTTAATTATTTTCCAGGCTAAGTAGCCCAATTTTTCTCAAATTTCAGTAAATCATTATCAAATTTAATTTTTCTGCCTAAGTGTATTTATTACGCGCATTGTTATATTCATACTAGTAGTGGATGTATCAATTGTATAAGAAGGCAACGCCTTTGAGGCGTTCTGAAAAGCAAAAATGTTGGAAATCCGAGCTCCGTAATCGGTTTTATCGTCTATAGAACAATTTAGGGAACCTATTTTGGATATTTGTTCCATTTTGAAGCTCTATTCTTGCCATTTTTGGTTTGTTCGATTTGGCTCTGTTTATTTTTTTTTGGTCGCACAATAGTGTAGAGTGAACAGCAAAATAGTGAAGAGTAAATTTTGTTTTGTTTGCCCGATTTGCACTCAGTTTCGGCAGAGCGGACCCGTGACCCCAAAATTACCTCAGGCAGAGCGCACCTGAGCTCCAAAATAAATTTGAGCCAAGCTGTCTTCATCAAAATTTTGTAGGAGCAAAACAACAAATTTTATCGTAAGAATCAATGGAGTTATCAACTTTTTTGAATTTTGAAAAAAAAAACATCTTAGCTCATTCTATTTTATTGTACTATTAGCCAATCCAAGAAGAGTATTTTAAAAAAAAATTTTTTTGATAGTTGTCAGACATTTTTTAGAAATTCAATAAGCTCATGTATTTTTTGTAAAACGCAAAAATTGAAAGTTTTTGTCAGCTTTTATGTATTAGTTTTATTGGAAAATTTAACAAGAGCAAAATAGTATTCGAAATTAATTTGTGATGTTATGTTTTTTCCGTGTTTGTTTCAATTATTTTTTGAATCACGTTTATTTTAATGAGACTTTTAACCGATTTCCAATTTCAAATCGCATGAGCTGTTTATCTTAAGTTCTTTTTCGTGGCTCTAAAACATGTTTTTTTTCCACAGCTAGCTATTCGATACGATATTATGTTTTTGTGACTCAGTTTTTGACATCTCTTATTTTTGTTCCAAATACTAGAAAAGAGTTAAAGGTCATGGGTCAATTGAGGTATAATTGTCAAGCGGGATTCCAAAAACTATATATTTCTAATAATGTGTAAAAGTTGTCCGCATTTTTGGCATTCAGGCTTACTATTTAAATTTACCGAAGAACAATCGTATTTTCTCAAGGATGGTTTAATCTACGATCACAGATAGTGAGGTTATTAAATACTTAGAAAACCTATTATAATCTGCGGCTTATAATATCTTCGATTTTTTTGCTACAACGGGTGGGCAATCTCTGCTACGTGCACGTTGACCGGCTACTTTTGTTCTACGTTGATCATTTTTGATTTGACAAAAAACTTCCTGCGAATATTTTCCCCCGAGGCTGCAGAAATGAACCAGTATACCGCTGTAGCTGAAAAAGGTTAAATTTTTTAGAGTATAAAGGTTAGTTATGTTTTGACGGCAACTTAAAATATGATCTGTTGGCTAGAGTATTTTGATGAGTTGAATGTTAATGGCAACTTAAAACACGAGTTCTCACCCGTAGCTCCTCGATTTCCCTCAGTTTTGACTCATCGAGTGGGTTTATTCCCAGGAATGACGTGTCACTGGTCGAGTCAGAGTCAAGACTAGAATTAGAGTTGCGCAGTCGGTCAGTCGACTCCAAGTTCACTATTCGATCCATCACCAAAATTAATAACTATTCTCTAACGATAACTTAATTTATTAACTTAACAATAACTACAAGTTAACTCTAAAATATGAAATAATTATTGCAATTGAAATATAAATAAATGCATATAAACCCAAAGTTTGTTTGAAAAAATACGCAAATATTAAATTTTCGGGGTTTGCGAAACAATTTTTGCTTCAGAACTCAGTTAAATGTTTTGATCAAGTCCAGTTGGGCTGTAGTTGTTCAACGGTTGTTAAAGCGTCGAAAGGAAATTGTAATCCCAATCTACGCGCAGAATTTGGTAGTAAAATAGCCTGGTAGCCTTAAACTAAATTCTGAGCCTTGGTTTTATTTCAATATACGTGAGTTGAGGTGAAGAAACCCTTTAACTGTTAGAGCATGTCAGGGTCTGTTAGTTAACCGTTTCGAGAATTCAAAAAGCGGAATGAATGTTGGATTAAAGATAAGACTGGAATAAGAGTTTCTGGACAAAATTACATGAATTTTTGAGGAAACTTCGTCAGAAGTTTTGATAAACCCGGGCGCCTTTTCCCATGTTGGCGACTTTAAGTGTATTTTCACTTTGTAGCATATTTAATCATGAATGTACCTAAAGATATGACTGATCCTTTTCTGCTGTTAGTTTCTGGCTTTTACGTAAGAATTTCTGCCAGCTATTACGTAAGTTTTGCAGGCGGAACAATTTAATTTAGTTTTCATAACAGCTGTCTGTCAGACGAAGCAAGTTGTTGTAGCAGTAGAAAAGTCGATAATGTAGGGTCTTAATGGAAATTAAGTTGTCATGGTTTGAGTATATTTAAAGTTCCAAAATTTTCCTCTTGCTTCTTGCACTTTCCTAGGATAAGTTTGTTTGAAAGTCTTGAATCTTGAAGCTATTCCTGAAACAATTTCATATTTCGAAATGAACTCATGGACTTATGTTCAAACGAAAGCGACAGGATTTTAGGAAAGAAATAGTTGTACGGTCTTATTTGAAATTACATGCAATTTAAAGAAACAAAATAAGCCATATAGTTGTGTAAATATTAGCCTCTGGAGTGTAATTAATTGCATTATCCATAACAGTCCTTCTATTTAATCTTTTTTTTGGGTCAGTAATTTCTTGAAACCTCCCATGTCGAATCAGTCTTCCGCTTATGCAAAGAAGTTGCTTTGTATAGCTAAATAGTTTTATTTCAATCTAAGTTTTGCCTCGAGACAAATTTTTGTTTTTTAAATAAAGAAAATAAGAAATCACAGCCTCGCGAAGTTAGTTTAAATTGATATTTGTTTTTTTTTTCAGACTTGTGATGTCGGACGCTGGCTTCTTCCGAGGCACTAACTCGGACCAGGACAGTCGATTTGCCAATAAGAACTCCAAACTGAAGAACCAGCTCAAGTTTGACAAGATACTCGATCAGAAGGTACGTGCATTATTTTAAACAAACGGAACCTAAATGTAGTTGTGTTATGGTTTAGCGCAAATGTGCTATAAAAACCCTACAGCTTTTTTCTGTTATAAATCAGGGGCGAATTTAGGGGGGCGCCCCCACCCCACTCAGGGATTTGACCCCCTGCCTACCCATAGGGTCACCTCTTTGTTCTGTTTTGAGATATCCATTTTTGGCTGACGGACCCCAAAATTTAAAATTTTTCTTAAGGGGAAGTGCGCGCCGAAAAACGCGATGTTTTGGTAAAGTTTTCCAAAAGTTGTCGAAAATGCCTTTTTTGGCCATTTTTTTCAAAAGTCTGCATGCGGCGCAAAAATATTAGCAGAAAGAGGGTTTTTTAGTGCTTTGAGACAGCTCGGAAACTCAATTTGTTCGAACTAAAAAAAAGGGTAACAAAATTTTCGAAAATCAACCCCCCTCGAAAAAATCCTCGATTCGCCCCTGGTTTAAAGGACTAATTTTAGACCTGCAGATAGCATGTATTATATGTCATAGCATGTATGAATTATATGTCATCTTAATCTAATATAAAAAAGCTTTCTAATTTTTTTTGGTGTCCATGAACGTACTTTTTTCTTACTTTTCTGAAATTTTGTCTTCCTCAAATCTGTTTTTTTTTTCGTGGTTTGGCATTAATTACGCTTGCGATAAGCAAGTGTTATCAAATCGCAGCATATCCTTTTTCGGGTCAACAAATAGTGTAACAAAATATCTCAATCATTCGTTCAGCTTATTTCATTAGTATCTCAAGTTCCTGGTATCAAATACGTCGGCTTAATGTGAAGGTAACGTTAGGCTCTTAATGAAAAAGGGTAAAGGTTAGAATCCGGCCAGGACCTGTGGCTTTTTCGCAAATGAAAAATTTATCGCGTGGAAAGAAGAAGTAATTGTCTGACAAATGTTTGTCTGCTTATTTTAGTAGGGTTGGTTGCCAAAGCCATTAAAAAGCTTATGGTGTTAGATTTTCCACTATCATTCGAAATCCTTATAATCTAAATCGGTCATATGGGAAGTAATTTCGTTCTAAGAAATGTTGCTGATTTTTTTAATATAATTTATATAATTTAAGTTTTTTCTGATGTTTAAGGGCTTTTTTGAAATGGCTGATTTCTAAGTTGATGACAAACAAAATGCCAGTGTAATGGCTGATTTTTTTTCCGATGTTAATCTGTTTTTGTTATTTACACTTGCGGGAGCAAGTGTCTTGTAATCGGGAACTAGACTTGTTTTTCCCGTAAACAACTTTTCTTACACATTTTAAATAAAGTGTCAAGTTGCTGTGTTAGTGAATATTAGCATTTCGAGACCTTTTCTCACTTGGCCTAGATGTGACGCGATTGCCTTTGTACCCTTACGTCTGGGTTAGAATCCCGGCCTGACCTTGTTTTTTTCAGGATGATTGAAATTGTTTTTATTTTTCGGAAAAAATTAACAGTCGGATTTTCATTTGACTGCTTACGTGATGTCTGCATAGTTGCCACCGCGGGGCATTTGTGATGTCAGCAGTTTTAGTCGTATATGCAAGTGTTTTGGTGTACTCCTGTCGTTTGTAAAATTATTACACCCTCGTTGTGTGGTTTTCTTGGTTTTCCTTTATTTTTTTTTTCGCTTAAAAGCTTTATTCGGCCTAAATGGTTTCGACTTATTTCTTATTGGCTTAGTTATCTTGTTTTGTGTCGCTTCAAAACAAAAAATTAGTGTTTTTTAGGTGGTATTTGTTGCAAGATTTCAAAATTTTAAAACTTAATTGCTCATACTTTTTTATGACAACAATTTTGTCGGGCATTTTTTTGTTTTCGGATAAATTGAGGTCTACCCACTTGTTGTACGCTTAGGTGCCTCTTAGTAAATACTAAACATTTATTTAATACTGCTGGTTATGTTTTTCGACTTTTTTGAAATTGTTTTCTTTCCCCAAAATTTTTTTTGAAATTGTTGTTTCCGTCTCATTTTTTATTCGCTAGCTTGCAATGCTGCGCTTGCTATGTATCGCAAGTGATACGAAGCGTCGCTTTGCTTCTGTTTTGTTAAATTTTGTTTGCCCGGTTTGATTTTGTCTAGTGAGCTTTGATGAATCATTAATGGTTTAATGATTGCCATTTTGGGAATGTGGGACAATTAACGAGCGATAAATTTCGCGCTATTAACGCGTAAGCGGAGAGTTAATCCGTCTTAGAAGTCGTTCCAAATTGGTTGAAAAAAGCTTACTTGCCATATTTGATTTGTTACTCGTAGCGAAATCTATCACTTTCTACTTCATACGGCGTGTGGGGATGATTTTTGCGAAAATCTCAAATTTAAAAAAGAAATTATTTTTTCTTACATTTAATTTTTCATGAGATTTTTTTACATTTATTTTTTCATGTTATTACTGCTCCATAGACCTTAAAAGGTAGTCGGAACATTCAAGGCCTCGCCCTGATATGCGCAGTCTTGTTTAGTTCTCGGGACAAGGGAAATAGCCAATTCATTGGCCAAATGGAAAGCAAATTGTTCTCTCCAAAGCAAAAGTGCAAATGACAAAAAGAAACGTGATTGTATTTCAGTTTCAAATGTGGGTCGTAATTTTCAGTTTTCACAGAAGAATTAAAGTTCCCCGTCGTCTAACTTCTCAAATGTGGCTAGCTTCATAAAAAAGTGTCAAACATGAAATGTTTTTAAATTTAAACAACTGTAATGTTATATACATTTTGAAACTAAAATTTGAAAAGCATTCCGAGTAAAGTTTTTTTTCTGTTTCCTTGAGTTCATTGACACTTTTTCAACGATTTAATGCATCATAATGAGTAAATGTCAATAAACGAAGGGAAGAAACTTATATATGTCGTGTTGATTTTTTTCGTTTTCGGGATTTGTTCACGTTCAATTTTGGTAATTAGATGTTTGACTTTTATATTTAATACACTAACGAGCTTGCGAGCGTAGTTCATTACTATGAGCCTTCGTTTTTCTAACCTAACAATCTGGCGATAGGCCAATAAGCCGAATGACCAACAAACCGAAAATAAGATTACCATACTAACAAGCCGAAAGTTAAAAATTATTACGCAGCTTAACAACAGAGTGTCACTGTTGTGATGCAATTATTATGTTATTCTGATATAATTTCGGCTTCACGGTTTGGTGGTTTGTAGATATGGCGTTTTTTGAGCATCCGTCTACAATCTGTGGCATTGGAAATTTCATAACATCGCTGCTTTATGTGCGCTGGTGTTAGCGAAAGGTTAAGCATCCGTGGCTGAGTAGTTAGTGTGTGATTCTCATAATCTGTAGGTCGCAGTATGGAATCCGACACCTAGACGAATTTTTACTAATTCGAGACTTCTTTTTTTTTACTAATTCGAGACTTTTTTTTTACTAATTCGAGACTTCACCTCTGTGCTCTAGTTGGATTCAAATTCATTTACTGAATGGAAATCAAATTATGCTTTTTAATATCGAAAGTCCAAATTGCACATAGAAACTGCGCGAACTTCGAAAGTTAAAAATTCTTCGAAAATGGGTAATCATTTTTTTAGTTTCCTTTAGTTCATGGACACTTTTCCAACTGTCTATTGGTATGTTTCCAGAAATGCAATTCTTATGCTATTTTTATTCTCCCTTTGATTTTGTAATTTACTATTCCTTAACGTAATATTAGTCCGTTTAGGTCGATATGTCCAAAGTGAACGTGGACGTGTTGAAGCCCTGGATCACAACCAGGTGTAAGGAGATCGTGGGATTCGACGATGATGTTCTGGATGAGTTTGTTTTCAATCTGTTGGAATCAGAAAAGGTGAGTGGATCAAATTTGGATGCAAATTTGGTCAAATAGGTTAGCAGCTGAAATGGTACAAATTTTGATTGCTGACCACCAATTTTGAGGACCACCTAAGAACGTCAGGATTTTGCAAGGAACAGATATTTGCGGTTACTGACACGAAATGAAAGCTGAATTCTATTTTCTTCAGGATTTTTGCATAGTTTTTCAGCCGATTTTGAAAGTTTTTATTTTGTTATTTTATTTGCTGCAATTTTAAGCTTACTTTGAAAGCTAAGAATTTTTCAGTTATTTCTAAAAATTGTATTGGTAAAAATTTAGCTCGTTTTACCTGTCAGGAGAAACGTGCATGATATGCTCAGGTGACACTCTCTTATCTCACTTTTGGCGCTAAGAAAGAAATCAGGTTTAAGTTCTAAGTTTTAAGAAAAATCAGTTTTAAGTTTTAAGAAAAAAGTTCAGTAACTCAGATTCATAGTGTAAAATGGCATCCAAGTGGGATCTTCATTGAGACCAGTAGCGGATTTAGGGACGTTTTTTTGGTCAAAACGCGCGGTTTTTCTCCAGTTTGTTTTTCTCATTCCTCGGGAAAACCCTATATCCGAAAAATTAGATATTCTTAACGTTGTAGTCGCCTTCTTCATCAGGGTATAATAAGTTCAATGGATATTTTTTCTGGATCATTTGGGACGCCTTTGCTGAAATGCTAGTAGTTTTTGAGATAATTTGAAATAAGTAAGCAGTGTGCGTGGCATTTTCCGTTGATAAAGATGTTATGATGCTGACGATGATGATGATGATGGTTTAGGTGGACCCGAAAGAGTGCCAGATAAACCTGACCGGGTTCTTCGGAGGGAGGAATGCGGCTGTGTTCATGGCGGAGTTGTGGGGTCTAATGATCTCGGCCCAGCAGAGTGAGAGTGGAATCCCAAAGCAGTTCATAGATGCGAAGAAGGCCCAGATTGAAAATAGGGAGAAGGAAAAGGAGGAGACTAGGGCGAGGGAGAGCAAGAGACAGGACGAACAGCGGTTGGTATCCAGGGGTGATTTGCAGTTGGGAATATGCAGTTTTAATGAAATTTCAACATTCTTAGGTCATCGAAGCACTCGATATATACCCTCACTTCACCCTCAGTTGTTTACAAGCAAAGCTTGTGTGATAGTGTGATTTCTCTTTTTTTTTTCAGCGTAAGTCGCAAATATTAGTGTTCATTTTGAAAGTGTCATTTTGATCAATAACTAGCTATTAAGTGTAGCCAATGCTAACGATATTGTTACAGACTATTATATTACAAACATCACTTTAGTTTCAATGTATCATGGATCTGTAGCGTAGAGGTAGTAAAGGAGATCCGCAAAAAATAAGAGGGTTCAAACCTGGGCAGGGTCGGATGTTTTTATTGAACTTTTTCGTATACTTTTTAAAATGCGTCCGCTCTATAAATTGTGGCATGTTATTTGGTAATTTTTTTTTCAAATTGACTGGTACTGCTAATGCGTCATAATTGGCGTGCATCGCTTAAGAAATTTTGTTGACTCAAAGTTATACTCATTCAGTTTTTCCCAGTAGCGTTATCGGTCATATTTTTGCTTGTGTATGCGAAGTGCAACTTCGCCTCTGTTTCAAATTTTTTTTAACCATCGCCAAGTTTTCAAGGAATTATTCAAATAGTTTTTCCGGCTATCAAAAAAGGCGAGACTTTGTCTTCGGGGGTGTTTCAGTTTTTTTCCCACGCAAAAGCAGGTACTACACATAATAATCTTAATGCGCCAAATAATGTAACATAGTGAAGCCCTTTCAGTCGTGAATCGAACGACTCTTAAAAGTTTTCAAAAAAGTTTTCAATGTGGAGAAAAACGGTTTTGAAATTTTTGGTTTTTGGTCCAATTCTGAACAAAAAAAGTGAGCGAACAGGTTTATTTTGTTTTTAAAGCAAAATCTGTTACCATAAAAAATCATCAGATTGGGTTGAGTGATAAATCATTTTAAAGCTTTCTTGTGATGTGATTCGAACAACATTTAAAAATTTGAAGAAGTTTTCCGTGTCGAGAATAAAAAAGTTTAGAATTTTTGAGTTCAAGTCTTATTTCGAGTTTGTAAAACGAGCGAGTAGGTCTTTTGAATTAAAGTTTTTGATTTTTTGTTTTCGATTATGCCTAATTCACTATGTTCTACATGTTCCATTAGTTTTCTACTTATTGCACGCACAAAAACGCGACTTTTATCTGAAAATAAAATTAATTTCATAGTTTTTTTTTGAATGGTGGGAACATTTTGTGCTAGTTTCACATAAACCAGCTGTCATTGCTTACCCTTGATATAAGCAAGGGTTTTGCAATCGTGTACTAGACTTTTTTTACGGTAAATAACTTTGTTCGCAGGCCTTTTTTCATCTGGACTCATTTCCTTAAAGACTCTTAGTAAACAATTTACCGCTGCACATATTTTTGTTCTTGGTGGGATTTTGCATATCTGTCCTGTTCGAATTTTTTGTAATATCGTTTGTAATTTTACCAACTTGATTTATTAAAACTTCATATTTTTTTGATAGGCTTTTTTTCGGCTTGATAGGTTTCAGCCAATATCACATCGACATAGAGGCCGCATATTGCACCGTTCAACAAGTGAAAAACTTTTTTTATGTGTGCGTGTGTTTTGAGTGTGAGGGGGACTTAATAACTTTTTATTGGTCTTGAAATTTTTTCGGCTTTTTTTCTCTTCGTTTTTTTTCGGCTCAATAGCTTTCGGCCTATTTTATATCGGCATAGTGGCATCATATTTTTTCATTTGACGGGCGAGTAAAATTTGTGTGTGTGTGTGTATGCGTGTGTGTGTGTGGGTGTGTGTTGACGGTGAGGGGGACCTAAAAATTTTTTTCAAGTCTCGTTGAATTTTTTTTCAGATTGAAGTTTTCCTGTAAGGTGTTTTCGGCTTTGTTACCGTTTGGTAATTTTTCTTTTGATGCGGTTTTTACATTCTATTGTCCTGTCTTGTTTTTCGTTTCAAACCTAGCTTCATTCATTCTGATAGATCTAGTTTTTCGACATATTCGATTTTTTTTTCGACTTAGAGGCTTTCTTGTTTTGTATCGCAAGTGGTGCGAATTTCAGCTTCGCCTCTTAATGTTGAGTATTGTAAATTGTTATCAACGCTGATCTAACAACTGTTTCAATTAGGTGTTGTTAACAAAGGGTATTTTTATTGTGTCATGTTTCTAGTTTAAGTCAAGTTTTTTTGGCAATATCTTTTTTTTCTTTCATTGAATCATGAAAGGTTTGGATTTTGTTGACATGAAAGGTTTGGATTTTGATCGACTAAGATTCAAAAGGACACCAATATTTTCAATATTTTGGCCTTAAATAAAAAGATAGTATTTGAAATAGAAATTTTCAATTTTGCAGCTTGTTTTAAAATTTGATGTGATGTTTTGGTATCGATGGTGTCCAGCAATCAAATGACTCAGGGTTCAAATCGCACGTGCGCTGAAATTTACAAGATAATCTCTTGTAAGATAGCCACAGCGTAGTTAAACTTAAATATTTAACCGCCTGGTTAGGCCTTGGCTGGTTAACTAAAAAAAATGTATTTTGGAGTTCTGAAAAAACTGTTTGCAGGTCTGTCTGTTTGCAGTTAACTTTCTTTTTCCTAAATCACGACTGATTATTACTCTGATAGCTATAATGTTTTTTATATGTGCCAGAAGGGAACAGACTCAATTATTATTTACCGAATTCATAACAATAAAAAACATTCCATCTTGGAAGAACACCAAAAAGGCCACTTAGTTGCCTATCGAGTGGTGCCTTCTTGAGCAAGCAGCAAAGAATACAGTTGAACTTCCGACTACCGAAAAACATCAAAAACTTGTTATCACAGAATTGCGGTGCAGAATTGAATTAAGCTGACTGTTTTGACTATTCAAAAAGTTCTCAAATTTTTTTGTCTTATGCATAAAAATGATTGAATAATAAGCGAACCCTATTTCTTGAGTTTTACATTCTATTGTCCTGTCTTGTTTTTCGTTTCAAACCTAGCTTCATTCATTCTGATAGATCTAGTTTTTCGACATATTCGATTTTTTTTTCGACTTAGAGGCTTTCTTGTTTTGTATCGCAAGTGGTGCGAATTTCAGCTTCGCCTCTTAATGTTGAGTATTGTAAATTGTTATCAACGCTGATCTAACAACTGTTTCAATTAGGTGTTGTTAACAAAGGGTATTTTTATTGTGTCATGTTTCTAGTTTAAGTCAAGTTTTTTTGGCAATATCTTTTTTTTCTTTCATTGAATCATGAAAGGTTTGGATTTTGTTGACATGAAAGGTTTGGATTTTGATCGACTAAGATTCAAAAGGACACCAATATTTTCAATATTTTGGCCTTAAATAAAAAGATAGTATTTGAAATAGAAATTTTCAATTTTGCAGCTTGTTTTAAAATTTGATGTGATGTTTTGGTATCGATGGTGTCCAGCAATCAAATGACTCAGGGTTCAAATCGCACGTGCGCTGAAATTTACAAGATAATCTCTTGTAAGATAGCCACAGCGTAGTTAAACTTAAATATTTAACCGCCTGGTTAGGCCTTGGCTGGTTAACTAAAAAAAATGTATTTTGGAGTTCTGAAAAAACTGTTTGCAGGTCTGTCTGTTTGCAGTTAACTTTCTTTTTCCTAAATCACGACTGATTATTACTCTGATAGCTATAATGTTTTTTATATGTGCCAGAAGGGAACAGACTCAATTATTATTTACCGAATTCATAACAATAAAAAACATTCCATCTTGGAAGAACACCAAAAAGGCCACTTAGTTGCCTATCGAGTGGTGCCTTCTTGAGCAAGCAGCAAAGAATACAGTTGAACTTCCGACTACCGAAAAACATCAAAAACTTGTTATCACAGAATTGCGGTGCAGAATTGAATTAAGCTGACTGTTTTGACTATTCAAAAAGTTCTCAAATTTTTTTGTCTTATGCATAAAAATGATTGAATAATAAGCGAACCCTATTTCTTGAGTTTTTGTTGTTGTGACTCGTCATTTTTTTCTGTGTTTATGCAACTTGAATTTACGTTTGTTATTTGAGAATGCGTCAAGAGTTTCTTGATCGCTGACAGTTTCATTGATTTTTAACATTAAGATAAATTTGACAGTTTAAACTCTCACAAATTGTAATCAAAATAAGGAGGGATTCCAAAATGCATCTGCACTGTTGGCTATGTTTTAGCCACCGTCGTCCCAACAGAGACCGAACATCGCCAGTCACTTCAACCAGTGCAGACCACAGCACTAAAAGGGAGGAAGTGCCAGAGGCTGTGGCAGAAGAGGCGGAGAAGATCAGAAGGGCAATTGAGGGCAACAACAGAGCTTCTTCAGGCACCAGAGGCACTAGCAGGTCAGATCGTTAGGACTTTTTTCATTTGCATTGATTTGTTTCGAATATACTAAGATTTATCTATCTCATTTCAGTTATTGTAATCTTTGACCTCCATTGGTAACTACACGATATAAATGATATCATTCGTTGGTTGGTTTCTTTTTTTATTAGCAGTCGATCCAAAGTCTGATATCATTTATATCGTGTAGACATTATTTGAAAATGAGATAAATAAATCTGAGTCATGTTCGAAGCAAATCAGTTTACTTAATTTGCGAGGAGACTGAAATTTTTGGGTTAATTTAAAAGTTAGTCATTGTGCCAGGAGTCGCAGCAGAAGTAAAGAGCGGCGTGACAAGCAGAAGTCTCCTCTGTCGAAGTCCAGATCTCATTCTAAGAAGAAAGCGAGGCAAGGAAACAGTGTGGAAAAAGAGGATATCAAGACTACCACATCTAGTCGGAAGGGAAGAGAGTACAGGAAGAGATCTTCCAGTGGGTCTTCGTCCTCAGGTTGGAAGACTTACTTCATTTATTCCTTTAAGTGCAAAATAACTAAGTGATTGGGTCTTATATAGGTCGTGATGATTTTTTGTTTGCATTTTGTCTAAGTTTGATGTTTTTGGAGCAATCATTCTCAAACTGAAGAAACTATGAACTAGGATGTTTTTTGGATCCCAAAAAGGTTTATAAATTCTATTTTTGAGAAGAGCTGGTCTTTTTTTTGCTATTAAGACTCAAATTTGGTAAAGATTGAATAAAATTCAGACGCTTCATTTTTTGTTTTCACAGTAAATGAAAACTTAGGCTATGTTTTGAAAAAACGTTATAGTCTGTAAATTTGACGTTTCACATTGCGTAAATTCTGAAACGATAAATGGATTGGTTATCACAATCCTATCCCATATTTCTCATCGTTTTAAATGGTTTGAGGATTATATCCTCTGAGTGATATGGTTTTTTTTGTTTTTTTTTTCGACGTTTTTATCTTAAGTGCTGTAATGAAACACTCCGAAAATTGTTTCAGCTTTTCAGAAATGATTTTCTTGAATGAAGTATTGACTTTTTAAAAGTTATGTATCGCAAGTGATACAAAAAAATAAACGATGCATTCCATTTACTTGGAGCTGGCAGTAAGGATGTAGAACAAAAACATGAGTTTATGAAGTGGAGTTTACATGAAAGAAGTTTGTCGTTTCAGGCGAAAGTTCCGGAATTATAGAATCTGGTAAAATTGTTGTTCGCTTCAGCTTTGGGGTTATATTATATTTCTGTTCAATAAGTAGCTCTATTGTAGACGTTGTCTGGGTCATTCGGTATCGGGATTTGCATTTTTTAGAAAGTGAGCGAGAAAAGTCCAGATCGCCGACACCTTCGAAGCGCAATCGTCGGAACTCGCGAAGTCGATCTCCTCCAGCTCGCAAGCGAAGAAGTCCGAGTCGCTCTCGTAGTCCTCCGACGCGGCGAAGACGAGAAGATAGTCGTGACCGCCCGAGCGACAATCGCCGAGGAGCGTACCGACGTTCGCCATCACCACGAGAACGCAGAGGCGGCGGCAGTCGTCGAAGTCCCGAAGAGAATCCCAGGTCAAGGCGATCGCCGCCGAGACGTGATGGTCGCCGAGATGATGTTTCGCCCCCACCGAGAAGGAATCATTCACCACCCGAACGACGTGAGAGGCGGCGGAGTGAATCAAGGAGTCCGCGTCGAGGTAAAGGTGACACAATTTATTAGAAAATATAATTCCATATTGTAAAACTTTTGATGCACTAGCTATTAAGATTATTGTGGAACTCGTCCTTGATAAATTGACTTTGAAAATTTGTTAAATTTAAGCTGAAATTTGTGATCTAAAAGATAAATTAATGTATTATTGAACGGATTTAAAGCTTTTACCTTTTTATGTAGAAGTAAAATCTAAATGGAGCGATCCGGTCAGACACGATAGCCGTCGGAGGAGCAGATCTAAGTCACGAGACGACAGTCGACGCAAACCACCCACGAGAAACGATTCGCCAGTGCAATCCACCAGACAACCTCAGTCGACAACTTCTAAAGACAATCGTGAACGTCAGAAGAAAAAACGAGACAAAGATTCGGAATCCGAAACGTCGCCAATTAATGAACGAATGAGGAGAGAGATAGCGGAAAAGAAACAGCAGAAGCCGAAAGAGAAACCTAGAGAAGGGAGCTCGGACAGCTCTGAAGGATCTTCGTCGAACGAGGATGGAAAGAAACGAAAAAATAATGTCAAGAAGAATGAAAAAGTTCCACCGAGAAATAAACCTAAAAAGCAACGAGACTCTAGTAGTGACAATAATTCAGAAACGGAGAAAGAGAAAGAAGCTGTGATAAATTCAAGAAAGCGGGACTCTGAGAAACAACTGAGAGGTCGACAGAGTCCAGAGAAACGAGAGGAGAAAAGGAGTAAGAAGAAGTCTGACGATGAGTCGCGAGCTTTGGAGGCGAAAAAGGCGGAGCTGATGCGTCAGATTAGAAAAGAAGAAATCGGTCAGCATTTTCACTTTCTACTGTCTTAAAAACAAATGTTTAAAACCAACAAAGATATTGTTCACTTTTTCGAAATCAAAACTTAAGCATTGAATTGCCTGTAATTTCCGGGGTGTTAAATTCTGATCTATATCTGTCTCGAGTCAACATTTTTTTAAGAGAAAAAATACTTTCCCGTTGTAGCCACCCAATAAATTATAGCCCCTCCCCATTAGTAAACTCATGAGTAGTAGAAAAGTATTTTTGTTACTAGGCTGGGCGGGGGGGGGCAATAAAAGATCGTTTTTGAAGCAATAAAAACGTTTTTAAAAAGGCCAGTTGTATGAATAATTAAATTGCTCTGCACTGAAAGTAAAGTTATCGAGGAGTTTTTTTGCTCTGTTAAAAATTGCAGAGTACCTTGATCACGTGTTCTGGGGTCCCATGAATGTTCTTTCCTCTTCATCGTCATCATCAGGTAGCTAGCGAATCATCCGGACAATCATCAACAACAACGCAAACATCTGTTTCATTGTCCTCATGATAAAACATATATGGACAACGGGTTTTATTTTTGGCTAACTAAGTGTCGTGCGTGCTTAAAACGTTGGCTGAGGGATAAGGTTTCTGAATGCGTTTTTTTTTCTTCTTTTTGTTATAGAATTATGGGAGTTGTCGCTTTAAGTCGGGACGGGTTCCTCAAGTTCACCTCATTTTTTTTTTGCATTTTCGGAGTTCTGAAATGGACAATAGCTACAAGTTTTTGAAAACTTTGCTGTTTGATATCGCCATTTGATGAAATATTTTGACTGTAAACATGAAAAAAGTTTGAAAATAAAATCACAATTGGATCGAAGCATTGCTGTTTCAGGAAGCAGTCAAGAAAGTCTCGCAATAATCCAAGCAAAGGATTCCGCTTCAGACGAAGAACCACCACCGGTTGTTACAGAAGAAGGAGACAAATTTAAGAGACCTGCTGAACAAGCCAAACCAGATCCGAGGCCAGAGCAACGTAGAAGACTTCAAGATTCAACTTCAGATACTGAACGAGGCCAAACAGAGCTGAAAAGAAGACCATCCACAAGCGATCATAGCAGAAGTAATCGACAATCAAAAGAGTCATCATCGAGAGATCGAAACAGCGGAAGATCGAGAGGCGAAGATTCAATTTCTCCAGATAAGAAGTATGTGAAAGATATGAAAACGATTAAAAGAACAGTTGAAAGAAGTCCATCTGAAAGCCGAGAGGAATTACGAGCAGGGAAAGCAGAAGGTAATGAAGATTCAAGCGATGATGAGAAGCGAGTCGAAATTAAAGTCAAGTCAAGGGAGTCACCGAAAAGCTCTCTACCGAAAAAAGTTGACCATAAAGGTCGACCAATGGCTGTTGTGGCACCGGTTCAGCAAAAACGAGAGTCTTCCGAAAGTGCTAGTCCGCCTCCGAGACGCGACAACCGGCGACCTGTTGTTGAACCCGAGAGACGAATTGAAGTTGCAGAGGAGCGAACCCGAGTTGACGAACGTCGACGACGTCGTGAGACTTCTAACGAAGACCGCGTTGAAGGTGTTCCGAGGCGAGCCGAGAGGACCCGGGACGAGGAGCGTCGTCGAGTGCCCGAAGCGGAGTCGAGTTCGAGTCGCCAACGAAGTGATCGAGGTGAATATTCGCGCGATGATTCTTCGCGAAGACCGAATTCGGAACGACAGGAGAGACCTAGAAGTGAGAGAAGTCCAGATCGATCTCAAGAGTCTTTAAGAAGATATAGACGGGAAAGTTCCAATCACTCTGCGGAAAATCGAAGACCAAGAAGGGATGAAAATATTGATCGTCGAGACGAAAGACGTGAGAGAAGGAGCGAAAGCGCGGATTCGTCTGTAGAACGCAATGAATCGAGGCGTAAGCGTGAACTTGAAAAAGCACGTCACGAAGAACGTGAGAGAATTCGTAAAAACGAAGCAGAAGAAAGAGAACGTGCTTCAAATAAGGGTAGACGTCATGGAAGAGATGATTCCGCATCTCACTCAGAAACAGACGAGCCCCGTGAATCAAGGGACGGTCGTCGGCGAAGACCCCGGACTCCTGAAAGCGAAGTAAGGTCATCCAGGGATCCAAAGAGAATCAGAGAAGACGTCGAAAGGGTTCCACAGAAATCGGGTCGTCGTGGTTCAGACAGCGAAGATGATCGAATTGAGAAACGAAACCGCCAAATTATTGACAGGAATTCTCGAGAGCTACCAAGACACGGGTCGTCGACAATGTCGAAAGAAAGCCGAAAAGTGAAACGAGAAAGTCCAGAAGCGCCAAAAAGAACTGAAAGACGAAAACCTTCCGAGTCTGCTAGCGGTTCAGAGGATTCAGACGAAAATGCTGAAAAAATGCCTCCCAAAAGAATCGAGAGAAAAAAATCGCCAAAACGCAATAAATCTCCGTCACCTGCTAAAAAACCGATCAAAGGCGAAGTTAAATGTAGAAAAGGCTCAAAATCTCCCATTCTTGAAAAGAAAAAAGCTAATAGAAGATCTCCAAGCGATGAATCTTCATCTGAAAGCGACTCTGAAAGTGAGAAAAAACCGGAAAAGAAACGGGATGGAAGACCAGCGTCTCCGGTGAAAAAGTCTCGTAAACAGGAAATAGTTTCAAAAAAACAAGGAAAAGCAAAAGTTCCTCAGAAGAAATCCGAATCAGACGACTCTTCAAGTTCGTCATCAGAACAAGAAATAGAATCTTTGCGACATAAAGCTTTGAAGACAATCCACAGTTGATTTTGTGCAATTCGACCTCTAAAAGAAAAAAATCGCAACAAAGCTTCAGAAAGAAGAAACAGATTATTCTAATCAAGCTTCAATTTATGAACTGTCTAAATAATAGCAATAATCTGCATCATGAACTGCTTTTAATGAAATTGGTTTTGATTTTATGTTCGCTGAAGCTTCTGTTTGGAATAGTTTGATACATCTGGAGCTTCAAAGTTGCATTCAAGTGTTGCTGATTTATAATTTATCTCGCGCTATTATATTGTTGAATTTATGTGTTGTGTTAGCACATTTTATAACATCTGAGGCAGGGGTGGGTTTAGGGGTAGGAGGGGGGGGGGGGGACGGTGGTCCCCTCCCTCAGGGAGTCGACCTCTGCAGACCCTTTGTACTAATTTGAGACATCCATATTTGGATATGAGGTTAACAAACATATCCGGTTGTACAATCAAGTAAGAAATTTTCCGACCACAGTCAGAAAAGCACGAGAACTTCAAAAACTTCCCTGAGCTCGAAAATCAAATACTTCAAATTGTTTTGAGAAAGCACTCGAATTGTACTGCTCGATTCTATGTAAACGTGATTATTTGTCTTTTTTTCAGCAAAAATTTACCTCGGGCTCAAATTGGGTTTTTCATCATTTGACTTTTGAATCTTTTTCAAAATGGCTCGAAAAAACTTGAATGACTTCTAGTTTCCAACGGGTTTAATTTCCAAGCGAGGTGAAAATATATAATAGTTGGGCTGCTGTTTTTTCAACTCGAAAGGCGAAGCTTTCGGTATTTCCCATTATTATCCGCATCAAACTATAGCGCCACCATAATAGCTAAATCATTGCGTGAGTTCATGGCAACTTTTGCAACTGTCTGATGGCTATGTTTTTTTATGGATTTGTGATCTTAATTTGAGGGAACGAAAAGCCAAGTTTTTTATATCTCAACTAGCCCGCCCGGAATTTTTTTCTTTATTTCCTCCTAGTGAGTATCTATTTGTTGCCCAAAATTTTGACAGATTTGTAGCTGAAAAATTTTGCATTGAAGTTCATCCCTCAAACATATGAAAGGAAAAATCAACTCATCAATGCAATAAGTTTACTTTTTAGTTTAAATATTAACAAGTGGTTTTTGATTGGAAAGAGCATGAAAGCTTTATCCCATGGCATATGGTATAGAAAAAAGCGGCATTTGCGAGCAGCATGAATTTTGTACGAACTCGAAATAAAAAAACCTGATGAGAAAATCAGAGAAGACGTCGAAAGGGTTCCACAGAAATCGGGTCGTTGTGGTTCACACAGCGAAGATGATCGAATTGAGAAACGAAACCGCCAAATTATTGACAGGAATTCTCGAGAGCTACCAAGACACGTGTCGTCGACAATGTCGAAAGAAAGCCGAAAAGTGAAACGAGAAAGTCCAGAAGCGCCAAAAAGAACTGAAAGACGAAAACTTTCCGAGTCTGCTAGCGGTTCAGAGGATTCAGACGAAAATTCTGAAAAAATGCCTCCCAAAAAAAATTGCCAAAACGCAATAAATCCCCGTCACCTGCTAAAAAACCGATCAAAGGCGAAGTTAAATGTAGAAAAGGCTCAAAATCTCCCATTCTTGAAAAGAAAAAAGCTAATAGAAGACCTCCAAGCGATGAATCTTCATCTGAAAGCGACTCTGAAAGTGAGAAAATACCGGAAAAGAAACTGGATGGAAGACCAGCGTCTCCGGTGAAAAAGTCTCGTAAACAGGAAATAGTTTTAAAAAAACAAGGAAAAGCAAAAGTTCCTCAGAAGAAACCGAATCTGACGACTCTTCAAGTTCGTCATCAGAACAAGAATTAGAATCTTTGCGACATAAAGCTTTGAAGACAATCCACAGTTGATTTTGTGCAATTCGACCTCTAAAAGAAAAAAATCGCAATAAAGCTTCAGAAAGAAGAAACTGAGATAATTCTAATCAAGCTTCAATTTATGAACTGTCTAAATAATAGCAATAATCTGCATCATGAACTGCTTTTAATGAAATTGGTTTTGATTTTATGTTCGCTGAAGCTTCTGTCTGGAATAGTTTGATACATCTGGAGCTTCAAAGTTGCATTCAAGTGTTGCTGTTTTATAATTTATCTCGCGCTATTATATTGTTGAATTTATGTGTTGTGTTAGCACATTTTATAACTCTGAGGCAGGGGTGGGTTTAGGGGTAGGAGGGGGGGGACGGTGGTCCCCTCCTTCAGGGAGTCGACCTCTGCAGACCCTTTGCACTATTTTGAGACATCCATATTTGGATATGAGGTTAACAAACATATCCGGTTGTAAAATCAAGTAAGAAATTTTCCGACCACAGTCAGAAAAGCACGAGAACTTCAAAAACTTCCCTGAGCTCGAAAATCAAATACTTCAAATTGTTTTGAGAAAGCACTCGAATTGTACTGCTCGATTATTTGTCTTTTTTTCAGCAAAAAATTACCTCGGGCTCAAATTGGGTTTTTCATCATTTGACTTTTGAATTTTTTTCAAAATGGCTCGAAAAAACTTGAATGACTTTTAGTTTCCAACGGGTTTAATTTCCAAGCGAGGTGAAAATATATAATAGTTGGGCTGCTGTTTTTTTTAACTCGAAAGGCGAAGCTTTCGGTATTTCCGATTATTATCCGCATCAAACTATAGCGCCACCATAATAGCTAAATCATTGCGTGAGTTCATGGCAACTTTTGCAACTGTCTGATGGCTATGTTTTTTAATGGATTTGTGATCTTAATTTGAGGGAACGAAAAGCCAAGTTTTTTATATCTCAACTAGCCCGCCCGGGTTATGTGACGAGTATTAGATATTGTGGAATTTTTTTCTTTATTTCCTCCTAGTGAGTATCTATTTGTTGCCCAAAATTTTGACAGATTTGTAGCTGAAAAATTTTGCATTGAAGTTCATCCCTCAAACATATGAAAGGAAAAATCAACTCATCAATGCAATAAGTTTTCTTTTTAGTTTAAATATTAACAAGTGGTTTTTGATTGGAAAGAGCATGAAAGCTTTATACCATATATGGTATAGAAAAAAGCGGCATTTGCGAGCAGCATCAATTTTGTACGAACTCGAAATAAAAAAACCTGATGAAAAAATGCAATATTTCCACAAGTACTTCAATAACTTCTGAAAATTTCAAAACAGGTAGTAACTCAGAGTTTGGTTAGTATATACCACTCAGGCTTTTATTTGGTTTTTCAAGGACCAGTAGCGCAATAAATCAGATGAAACATGAGAGATTGTTTTCGGAGAATTGACCTTAAAAAAATAATTAAAATGAGATGTATGGCATTCATCCGGAATCGTTATTATTAGTGTGATTTTGCTCAGGAGAAATAATTGCTGATGATTATTGCCAATGTTCTGAAGTTAATGAGCCAAACCCTGGTAAGATGATAGTAGTTAAGACTCTTATTTAGATCGTGATGTTTTTTTTTTCAGGAAAAATCATAGTTCGTTCAGGCTCAAATTTACTTTTTCGCGATTTGAGTTTGATCTCTTTTCAATATCAGTTTTTATAAAAAGAATGCAAATAAACTCCACTATCGAACAGCAAACGTTTAAAAATCACAAAAAATGTGATCGACTTTAGTTTCGAAAAGGGAATTTAGTTTTCAGATTTCCCAGCGAAATAGAAATTTTATTTTTAAATCCAGTTGTCTCAAGTTAGTTTATTTTATCAAGAAATAGCTAATCATGATTTGATCTAGAAATTCAAAAAAGCTTATAAGGAATCTATTTTTTATTCAGAAGTTGAAATCAGTTGTTTTCTGTTTACTTGCGTTCATTGGTTCTTTTCCAACTGTATAATGGCTCTGTTTAATTGTTTTCCGCTGGTCATGATTTTCTGTATTATGCTAACCAAGCTGGACCTAATTGGAGCAGTTAATCGGAGTATTACAATGCTTGTCATGTGCTGTTTTTCAACCATTGTAGTGAAACGGGGCTGAAACTAATTTTTGAAACAGGTGTTGATTTGCAGAAAAAATTTAGATAAAAAATTAGCCATCAATTTTCTTTGTAGCTACTTGTAAAGCAATCAGATGCTCAAAAATACCTGTTTCAACCTGTGCAAAATTAGGCAGAACAAATCTATTGTTCCTAGAATTTTTGGAGATTCCTACATTGAAAATCACGTTTGTAATATTTTTGATGTTTGACGCTTTTGGATTACATCAGAAAAATCTGTCCAGAGATTATAGGGGAAAACTGCGCGCACCTATGACTAAGAAACACTTTTCAGGTAAAGTTTTGATTCACAGAACCTGTGTGACTTAACTTAAACCGGCAAAAATTATATTTCATCCTTGATTGTAATTTTCGTGGAAATTCTTCCCATAAACTTATTTTAGGGGAACGATAAAAACATGGTTCTCATTTAGAATTTTTAACCAGTCAGTATAAAGCGTTTTACGCCAGTGCCAAACGAAATTCATGCAACCTAATTGCTAGCGTGAACAAATTCAATTTAGACTGTTGGGGGATGAAGATTTTGATTTGTCTCCGCACTAAATGACGGTTTTTGGTGGAATTCAACCAAACATTTTCTTGACAAACCATTTGCTGTGACATATAGTTATTTTATATTCGATCAACGATCTGTAGTTAGTAGGCTTGATTGTTTATTGAGGCAATTGTCAGTGCCATTTTAAAGCATGATACCATTAATGAACCATCACTTATATTTTTTGTTAAAAAAACTGCTTTTGTTTGAAGTTACGGGACAAACTAAATTCAACCTGATGTTTCAAACACATCTTTTATTGCGCATACCGCGTTAAAAGTTTTGAAGCTCGAATTTGTTCAAAATTTTATGCCTCTCTGAATGTATTTGCCTGAATAACATTTTACCCTTTAAGTTTACCGAAAAAAATTCTACGACGTCGGGTGTGGTGTTTTTTGAAGCATTTGTTCAGCCGTAATTTTGATTCGAAAAAAGTTCAAAAAATTCTTTTTTTTGACAAAAATTAATTTTGCTATTCCAAAACACATATTTACTAGAGAGCGAATGAAGCTGTTTTTTCGACAAGACTGCTTACTTGATAAAATTGAACTTTTAACTAGTCATTTTTCAAAAAGATTGTTTCGTCTGATATGTCATTTTACTTTGAAAAAAAAGACACAAGTCAGTTTTCAATTGTTTTTTGGGCGAATTTTATCTTGATCATAACATTCCTCGCTAGTTTTCCATCGACTAACTACTCTTGTTTTAAAAATGGAACAGTTTTGAATAGTTTTAACTTTATTATGTCAAAAATTTCGCGGAAAAAAAATTGTTCAACCTAATTCACTAAGACTTGTTTTTACTCGTATATAACGCAAAATGACTTATTGTTCCAACTACTTTCGGAAAAAACAATGGATAAAAATCAGTTTTTGCCCAGTTATGATTGCTTCAAACAAAACTCATAACTGGTTAAATTAGCTACTGCAATTGATCAAGTCAGGTATGAAGATTTGAGGAAAGACATCCGCATCCAGTCAAATCCAGAAATTCAGGCCTGAACAGTTTAAATGCATCTCTCATTGTTCTGCAAATGTTAAGTGAACACAAATAAATTGGAGCGGTCAAGTATATTTTGCCAGGAGATTGTTATGACCTGTTTTCTTTTCAATTATTTAAAAATGCATAAAAATTAAAAGACCTAGAAAGCTCAACTGTACAACTTCAATTGGATCTCTTCAACTATTTCCTCATAGAAAATCTAGTAAAGAATTGCCACCCCGATAAAGAAATAATTTATTGGTTAGCGCATGTGGATTTTGTACCTAGTAACGAATCTCAGCCCCGCCCCCTTGTTACGAAAGGGGAGAATTAGTTAAAGTGATCCCTTCAATTTATATATATATCTTTTTACCAGGTTTTCCAAAAAGTTTCGTTTCAGCAAATTCAACCATAAAAAACAGGCTGCACTTTGACCCTGTTTCTCCTGTTTATGATAGGTTCGTCCCAGATACGTCCCTCAACTTGTTGCAACTTCTCAAATTAGATAGAGTTCTCATACTGTTTGTTGTTTGTTTTGTTTCGCTCGATTACTGGTGCTTCGTTTTATATATAAATACTTTAAGTATTTGTTTTTGAATAAAATTATTTCTAATAATGGAGCATCACCTTCTTTGAGGCAAATCTGAGCAAGTTTTGCTCAAGTCCTATAAAAATTGAGTCATGTCTGGTAATGGTCTGATGCAGATCTGATCCGGATCTGCGTATATCTGATCTGCATCTGGACAGATCTGATCCAGACCTAGGCAGGTTTGATTCAGACCTTGGACAGATCTGATCTCTAATAAAAAAGTGCAGGTCTGCAGCATGCCTCAAACAAGCTTGCACAGCAATATTAAAGACATGCTGCAGTTTTTCTGCAGACATTAAAAATGAAATATTTTGCGGTAATCAGATCTGTTTTTAGATAAAACTTTCATACAAATTAATCAATGTTAAACAATGTAATAACCTGGGCAGCAGAAAACAGAATTAATTTCAATTTTGACAAATTTGAACGAATTAAAATTCAAAAATCAAACAAACGATACCCTTTAAACAATTTTTTATCTATTGATGAAAAACAAATAGTTTTAAAAGACACGGTGACAGGCCTTGGTGTTTGGTGCAATTTCAAAATGTCATGGATATACCACATATCCGAAAGGCTTAAAAAAGCAAAAATCCAATTTAATTACATCAGAAGATCTTCGCCAAACTCATTGATTAGCTCTGTTCGGGTTTCGCTTTTTAAAAAAGCATTCTATCAAAAAAAAAATTGTTCATCTCCAGTTTGGTTTGCGACTAAAAACCAATGTAAGCGAATAAAAACCAATGTAAGAGAAAAATTTCAAAACGATACATATAATTGTGTTACAAAAACTTGAATTGAATGACGAGGATTTTGTTTTTACTTGAATAAAAGCAAACGGTTGCCAATTTCACTGACGTTAATTAAAAACGATTTTAGTTTGCTGAATAACATTCTTAATAACGAGTTGCCGATAAATGTTTTTGATATTTGGACAAATGACAATGGCCCTGATTCAATTGGAACGGGAAACAAGACGTATTTGAGAAGGCCAATGATAACACGGAGCAAATTTTGTGAATTTTTTTTACCGCTACATCAATTTCTTTTAACTAATAAGAAAAAGAAGTATAGGAAAAAATATCTTAGTGGTGGACATAGGGTTTCGGCTTTGTTTGCTTTTTACGCGAAAGGCTTAAAAAAGCAAAAATCCAATTTAATTTCATCAGAAGATCTTCGCCAAACTCATTGATTAGCTCTGTTCGGGTTTCGCTTTTTAAAAAAGCATTCTATCAAAAAAAATTTGTTCATCTCCAGTTTGGCTTGCGACTAAAAACCAATGTAAGCGAATAAAAACCAATGTAAGAGAAAAAATTCAAAACGATGCATATAATTGTGTTACAAAAATCTGAATTGAATGACGAGGATTTTGTTTTTTACTTGAATAAAAGCAAACGGTTGCCAATTTCACTGACGTTAATTAAAAACGATTTTAGTTTGCTGAATAACATTCTTAATAACGAGTTGCCGATAAATGTTTTTGATATTTGGACAAATGACAATGGCCCTGATTTAATTGGAACGGGAAACAAGACGTATTTGAGAAGGCCAATGATAACACGGAGCAAATTTTGTGAAATTTTTTTACCGCTATATCAATTGCTTTTAACTAATAAGAAAAAGAAGTATAGGAAAAAATATCTTAGTGGTGGACATAGGGTTTCGGGTTTGTTATAGTTGTCCAAAATTTCATATGTAAAAACTCTATTTCTTTTTTCTATTTAGATAGTCATCTTCAGTTTTTTGTAACGTCTCATTACTAAAATTCTGTTTTATTTTTCTGAATGCAGGTGACTTGAGCCTTCTTGCCATATTATACCAAGTAAATAAACAACTGCTTATTTTAACGCATGAGACAATTGTGTATAAAATTGGAGCTATTTTTCGAAACTCCACTCTTTCCTCGTCTTGGCCGTGGAAAGTCCTGAACCGCCTTAAAATGTTAACAGAAGATGAAGTCGACAGCTTTTTGAATGCAAGTAAGCCGATTTTTGTCCAAGTATTAATTCCTATCCAGCCGATTTTTTTGAAAGTGTGCTTTGAAGCTAGCGAAACTTTCCTAAATTCAAGAAAAAACCATTTTAATATGAACAAATAAAAACAATTTTGAACATGTACTTTTTAAATGCAAATTGCTGTGCAATTACTTTTCTTAGACCACTTTATTTTGTAATTTTGCGTTTAAAAATAGAATTTAGGGGAAAATTCGGTGTGCTTTTTTGATGGAAATGTTTTCCTCTGTGTTGCGCAGCTGTTCCGCTGCATCCCGCAAAGGCAGATAAAGTTTTCTTGAATTCATAAATAATTGCAAAGCTTTTTTTTTTAAAAAAGCTAATTTGAAACAAATTCTTTATACATTAAAGGATTTTGCTTCAATTGATAGAGCCGACACTCAATAAAAACACGAACCATCTGTGTAAACAAGTTTTTCTAGACTTTGTTTGGTCTGAAAAATTTCATTTTCTTTTTGAATTTGTTCAAAAAAACAAGCTGCAGTTTTATGGCACCGTTCAATATTATTGTCTCAATTTTTCTACAAATTTTTAATTTTTTGATAGTTTTTGCTGATCAATGTATAGTTCGTCAAAATATCCAGAGTTGTAACTTTAGTCTTCCGAAAAATCCAATTTACCAAGTTACATCAGCTGTTCACTTGGGACTTAGCCAATCACAATGCACAGACAAAATGCAGCGATTTGATTGGCCAGTTGGAATATTCTGTGGGGCGAGTTTTTTCTGTGGCGTGGGTTTTGTCTCTGAGGGTGAAATTTCGAAAATTTTGGGGAATGATGATTCCTCCGGCCCCACAACTGAAATGTGTGACCTCATGATAAATCTGAAGGAGACTGATTGCTCTACCACGGAGAGCAAACTGTATGAAGTCGGAATTTTACTGGGTGAGCAAAGTTGGTTTCGAGAACGGAAGCGAGATGCAACTAAGGGTACCGTTTTTCGTATCATCTTACGGAATCAACTGGTCCTGAACTTCACCAAGAGCGAAAGTTCATGTTTCTAGTTGCAAATTTCCTAATGATAACGCAAAAATTGTTTCCATAGAAATGGTGTCCATGTTTTTGAAATTTTTGCGACAGGTTGAATGATTTAAAGTTTTAATCGAGCAGAACTAAACCAACACTCTTTCTCAACTTCAATTTTTTTCAAGTTCGAAGCGCTTCAGAAATCTTATTTGTGAGCAGGGACGGATCTAGGAATTTCTCGAGGGGGGGGGGGGGCAGATTTTGAAAAAAAAGTTGATTATGTTGTCGACTTTTTTTTTATGTCGACCAAATTAATTATCTGAGCTCTCCTAAATCACTATGAAGACCCTAATATGACAAAATTTTCTGCGCCGAAAAAACAGGCCAAAAAGGCGTTCTTATGTACTTTTTGGAAAATTTCGACCAAAAAATTGCGTTTATTTCGGCGCGCGCTCCCCCTCAAAATTAGTATAGATTGGCGCCAAAGGCACCTTAAGAAAAAATCTAAGGTCAGTTAGCTAAAAATTGATATCTCAAAGTAGTACAAAGGGGGGAGCCTTTGGGTCGGCAGGGGGTCGAAACCTTGAGGGTGGGGGGTGTCCGCCCCCCGCCACCCCCCTAAATCCGCTACTGTTCGTGAGCTTGTCGGTATATCCATATTGGATATATTTAAAATTGTACCAAAACCGGACGTTTTAGACGGAGTGGTCGACTTTTGCTAATAAATTGGTGGTTACCCACAATTTTTCTAAGTCTGTTATTGGGAACCAGAATTTATTGAAAAATAAAAAACAATTAAAATAATTTTTTGACATAATAGTAAAACAATTTGAATAGATAATTTAAATTAGTGAAACTGGTATTTGGTACGAATGCATTTCAAATGCAGTCAAATGACCTCAAGATGGACTCACCCTTTGATGTTTTGCATATATTCAGCCAATCCGTGGACTTGCCACTCACGAGGCTTTGAAGTCTGTGCAGATCTGTTCATGACATGTGAAGACGTCGCTCACGGCTACATGTGTAAAGAGTGCTTGCAAGGATCACAGTTTGACTTGAACGCCAAAATAGGATGCAAAGGTCATCACACATTTCAAGTACTTCGAAACTGGACCGAACTTTTTTGAAATTTACATTGCTCAACACTTTTTTTGACTGGGGCAACTTTTAGGAAAAAAGGTGGAAGTTTTTCGTGCAATTTGATTTTGCCATTTTGAGATTGATCGGAAACACTAGAGTTCGATAGAGTTTTGGCAATTGTTCTTTTTGGAATATTTGGCGCCAAAAAAAATCGTTTTACTGGAGGCGCTCCCCTGAAAAAAAAAATTCAATTTTTTTCTTCATTTTTTAATAGAAACCCAATAGAAAATACAAGCATATAGCCCCACAAGTCATTAAAGCAAAAAAAATAAGTAAATGATGTATATTTTGTGCAGATATTGACGAGTGCCAGAATATAGTTGAGTTCTGTGGAGAAAAGGGAGGTGGTTGTACCAATATGGACTTATCCTACTTGTGTCAATGTGAGTCGGGATTCGCACATGATAACACACATTATGGATCAAACTGTTCGGGTAAGCATGTCGGTTCCAAAATATGTCGAAAACAGATTTCGGTTGAAAATCTGTCGGTTCCATTCAGCTGTTGAAAATCTGTCGGTTCCATTCAGCTGTTGAAAATCTGTCGGTTCCATTCAGCTGTTGAAAATCTGTCGGTTCCATTCAGCTGTTGAAAATCTGTCGGTTCCATTCAGCTGTTGAAAATCTGTCGGTTCCATTCAGCTGTTGAAAATCTGTCGGTTCCATTGAGCTATTACTCTTGCTCTTTTGAGTATAATAAAATATTTCAAATTTTGATTAAGAAAGAAACTGAAATCTCACAAAACTGATGAGCAAAATCTCTTTTTCTATGCAGTTTTGCTGATGAATTGCGTAAGTATAATTTGCGCGTGAAGCGAATCTAGTGCCTGATATAATACAATTGCGTATGGCTATCGCAAGTGGAAGTCTGTTTCATATAATTTTTTAACAGTTTTTTGATCGTTTTTTTTGTTTTCCTCTGAAAAACGAATATAATATTAATATTTCATGCCTAAAAAATTTTTGTATTACTTTTTTTCCTACCTAGATACCAATGAGTGTGAACAAAATGCATGTGGGATTCCGGCTGAGAGTTGCACTAATACAAATGGCAACTACACTTGCACATGTGAGGCTGGATACACTGTCTTGGCCACCTCTTCAGGGCATGCTTGCTTAGGTAGCATTTTTGATTTTTCCTCAATACAATTCTTTTACCTCGGCAAACAAAAAAAAGCCCCAGATGCCAAAAAATAATTTTAGTTTGAGTTGAGTAGTATAACATAATAAAGCTATCCCCCGTGCCTCGAAAAATGAATATTTGCAAAAAATGAAAAAGTTTTTTTTTCTCTAAACGGCTGAGCTAATTTTCATTTAATTTGGAAAAGTTCGCAGAAAGTTTTGAAAAGAAGTTAAATGCCCCTTCCCAAAATTTTCCCGAAATTCTGTGTCACATTTTCAAAATGGTTTTAAAAAAATTTGGTGATTCAATTATTTTTGCAATACCGACAATATTACACTAAATATTTTAATTGAATATTAGCTAAAAAGTCAATGGTGCTTGCTTGAAGAAAGCAAATCAGCTCCTGAAGAAATTTCATAAAAAAACTTTGAAAAACGTGTTTCAAAAAAGTAGTTGTCAGAACATTCTAAGCTGTTTTCCACAACAACCCGCTATTTTTGGTTCTTTTTTATTTCGGTTTTCGAAATCCATTTGTGGAAAATTTTTTGCATCTAAATATGTTTTGGTCTATATCTATGCAAAAATCTGTTCTATCAAGCTGAGTTTTAAATAAACATTAGCAATTAACTTTCTATTTAAATTGTTGTTCTAAAAAATTGGAGTCTTTTTATTCTGCCAAAGTTTTTTGCTATAGTAAAGAAAAACTTGTTCACGTATTGTTTTTAAACTAGATATCGACGAGTGTGAACACAATGCATGTGGTATTTCGGCTGAAAGTTGTACTAATACAGACGGCAACTACAGTTGCACATGTGAGGCTGGATACTCCGTCGAGCCTTCTACCTCGGGACATTCTTGTTCAGGTAAGTTTTTTTTCCCAACAGTATTCCGCATTATCTCCCCAGTAGTAACTAAATATTACACAAGCAAAACTTGAGTAGAAGTATGAACTCTCTTTTTTTTCCATCCTAAGTCGCAAATATTAGTGTTCTTTTTGAAAGTGCTCATTTTGATCAATAACCAGCTATTAAGTACAGCCAATGCTAAGGATATTAACACAGACTATTATATTACAAAAAGCACTTTAGTTTTAAGGTATCATGGATCTGTAGCGTAATGGTAGTGAAGGAGACCCGCAGAAAATAAGAGTGTTCGAACCTGGGCAGGTTCTGAAATTTTTAATGAACTTTTTCCTATAAATGTTAAAATGCGTCCGCTCTAAAAATTAAGGCATGTTAGTTGGTAATTTTTTTTCAAATTGATTTGTTCTGCTAATGCGTCACAATTGGCTTGCGTCCTTTAGCAATTATGTAGACTCATAATTGGCGTGCGTCGCTTAAGAAACTTTGTAGAGACAATTTTTTTTTCATTCAGTTTTTCCCAGTAGCGTTAATGATTATATTTTTGCATGTGTATGCGAAGTGCAACTTCACCTCTGTGTTCAAATTGAAAAACGAAAGAACTTTAATCTCGAATGAACTTCAAAATGAACTCCAAACTAGAGTCCTTAAAAGTTTGATAGTCTTGCATGTACAATGCATTGGAAATGATCTGAGTTCTATGAAAGGTTTCTTACACAAATAATATACTAAAAGCATTTTAAATTATCAGACAATAATATACTAAAAGCATTTTAAATTATCAGACAATCATCAAGGCACACATAAACATGCTCTACAAAAGTAATAATAGTGCTTAGCGTTTTTGAAAAAAATTATTCAAAGAAACGGAAAAAAATCCAATTTTTTTGTATCCAGGAGCATGCAAAAGTTTTTTTTTAAAAACGTTTGTTTGAGTACAAATTTCGTTTTGCGGCTGAAAAAAAGCAAAAAAGTGGGGGCAATTTCAAAATTACTTGGAAAAATTTTTGTTGTCGCCCTCAAAAATTGATAGTCATGCAATTTCCATAAATGGAAATTGTGTCATTAGCATTTTTTTCGACAAAAGTTTTTGTTTTTTATTTATTACGATACACCGACTTTTATGCTATAACAAAAAAAAAGTTCTTTGAAAATTAGATGACACAATTTTAGTAAAATATATGAATTTGTATGAGTAGTATTTTTTCATAGACTTATTTTATGGAATTGTATCACTAGCATTTTTAGTTTATGGAGGTCAACCCAGGTGCTAAAGAATTTAACTGTTAAGAAAGGTGTGACAAACAACATCATTAATTAAACATATATAAATTATTGTTATTTGTTTTCAGAAACATGATAATGGTAATTTGGTATTTTTAGATATCAACGAGTGTGACCAAAATGCGTGTGGAAGGATGGCCGAGACATGTGCAAACACAGATGGAAGTTATATGTGCACATGTGTTGCTGGATACGTTGGCATGGCAAAATCCACTTCGAGGCTAACTTGCATAGGTACATTTCTGCTCTCGATAACATGTACTTAACCATCAATGTAGATAAAAATTATGCAGTTGACATTGATTTTTTGGTCACTAAGATAGGGATGTTATAAAGAAAAAAAGCTCTTTTGCATTATAGCACCAGTAAATTAAAGACTCAGTAAAACTAGAGAAACTATTGTTTGTCAGTGCTATAAATTTGTTGTTTTTTGTCTGGCTGGTGGGTCGGTTTACTATTGAAAAGAGCCAAAAAAAAGAAGGGTTTCTAAGTTGCACATTTTGCCTTAATTAAACTCAATTATGGCTTGCTTACAAGTTCTATTATAAATTAATTTGTATAAACGCGATTGAAAATCTAAGCTTGCTGATTGCTGCCCAAGTTTCCTTAATAACCATTGTGAGGAATGATTCAACCTTGTATAACATCGAAAAAATTGCATAAAAAATACCAGAACAGTCTTGGCACAAAGAAAGTGTGAAGCAATTCATTCACAACCATAGATTGGCTCAAGTATGGTTATGATGAATAAAGCTGGCCGGAGTATATAACTGACCGGAGTTTGAGCAAGGGTTTGCTCTGTTGTTGATCTATTGATAAAATGTTTCTTTGTTACATCTAACTCTACTTTATACAATTATAAGAATAAAAGGATAAAAGTGAATTAATCTGAAAGTTTGAACAATAAAAAGTGACAGAGCATTCTCTCCGCCGGAGAGAAAAAAAGTATCAAGGTCAAACACAAATGACCTGTTAATCAATTAAACTAAAAATTAGCCACTTAAGCTAAGATACATAAGTGGAATAACATCAATCCTCAAAGCACGAAAAAACTTAAGTTGCAATAAAATATACCTAACTGCTCCTTTTCTCAAAGGAAAAAATCAAATTAAGCACAGTATTTTCTGCGTTAGAATTATAAGGAAATTGACTAGACTAAATAATTGTGCAGTTAAAGAGATCTAATCCACACTAAGTTTGAACAATCTAATTTCCGAATTAATTTTAAACTAAACTGTTAATGGAATACCGCGATATAAAAGTGTTAGATGTTATTTAATGTCGAAGGACGTTTCATCTAATGGTTACAAGCACATAAAAAGTAAAATTCCGTCAATTGTGTACTTATTGAAAATAAGTGGTAAACAAGTTTTATCCGGGGGAATGAAAATCATT